TGTCAACACGAAAAGACCTAGCATCAGCCAGGAAGGCCATGTAAAGCCCCCAAGATCAACCAGCTTTGGTGATTCTCAACTTTACACGCGTAGTGTAAACTGTTTTAAAAGTATGTATCGCCTTGTACACATTCATCATTATACTTTGTTTCTTATCCCTTTCCTCCACCCCAAAAGTAGACTGTGCGCAAGCATACTTAAACTTCATTGTGAGCAATACGAGACATAGCATTCCAAAACTTACTGCGCATAATACTGCACCGGTTTTCGCGACACTTATGCAAGTGGTGGCAAAAATCACAACAGTTTTTCTCTTATGCAGTGTGTAGCGGTATAGCTAAGAATGTTGAGGTACTATGACTACGACGTTATAAAATTGATTGACAGGCAGAGTGAAATCAACGTTGAAAGTGGGGCTAGTTAGTACGTGCTCATCTTCAGAAGGGTGGGGCACAAAGAAAGAAACGACAAGCAGGCGCAGACAGGAAACTAGTTTCCTGCTCTTCGATGATCATGACAGATCATCCTTGCTGCACCTAGTAAAGGTTGATTTTAGGGGCGAAGCTCCTTATGGCGTGGCTTGTGCGTCACTCGTAGTACGTAACCACCAGTGGCACATACCCGAAATAGCAGTCCTTACGATTTTGACCTCCAAGGTGGTTCCGGTGAGAGATTTCTTCTGTGCGTTGTTGAACAATAAAAGATAGTGCTCAATGCACATGTTAATGGCTGCTAAGGGGGAATGAGAGACAGGAGCATTCGGCCTTTAGATAACGCGCACGCTGCGATCCCCATTAGCAGCTATTGGCATGTACATTGAGCACGATCTGACAAGAAAGGGTTGCTACGTTATACTCGCTGGGTGTAACCTCCTTGGTTTTAGAAAGGTTTAGCGAGCGTTGGGCCGCATAGCCATGAATACAGTGAACTAGTATATACCATGAACTCGAGGTGGTTAAAGGTGGGAAGTAAACCCGAAGCGCAAGCCGTAAGAAAGTGTGCATGTGCCACCTCCCGTTTAGTCCTTGAAATGTGCGCTGGATGGCGGTGCTTCTATATGAAGAATATATCATGAAAAGATGCGAGATGGTGGTACTTGGAGTGCTGAATAGATGGACGAACGGACACACAGACAGATGCATGGATGGACGCATGAACGGACGCAGGCGCGGATGCATGGACGAACGCAGGGACGGACGCACGAACAGACGCACGCACGGACGGGTGGATGGACGCATGGACGGTTACACAGACGTACGCAGGAACGGACGGAAGCAAAAACGAATGGACGGACGAATGCTTCGCCCCACTCCCCATCATTCACTCCGTAGATATGCTGCATTTTTTAAATATATTAGTTTTGAGGCTGTGCCTGTTTGTTGTTGTTATCTTAATTTGTGTCCAGTCCTCTCACACAGTTTTTTTTTTTTTCTGAAGAACGAAACCAGCTTTCGGGAGCTCTAAAAATGCTATCGCAGTTAACTGTTCGCACTCGGAAAACAAAATATGAGAAATATTCACGCACACAACGCGCCACCAATGACGTGATAGTGAACAAATGAAACACAAACCTGACGTAAAAAAAATTACCGAGCGATCTTGCACATACGTATCTTCATGAAGCCTTGGGATAGGAACCCCGTGCGCCACGACCTCGCTTGGCGGTGCAGAATCGACGCGGATGGCTCGGGCTTTGAAGCGAAGCACTTAGGGACAGGGGTCGTTGAGTCGTTCAAGCAGACCAGGGGTTTCCAGTCTATTAACCTCGCAAGACTGGAATAACACGCAGCCGCTTCCAGACGAGTGCAAGAGGAGTTGGTTAGCGTGACCCGATTGCAGCTGCGGCCTGGGCTTATTGATCAAGGCCAGAGTGCTGCAGACTAGATGCCCTGTCCCGACCGGCTCGTGAGGCATAAATCAGCCCCACCGTGAAGAATGGCGTGCTGCGCGCATTACTCGGAACGCTCTCTAATGGAGGTGGCCGCGTCACCGCAGTCATGTACAATGTTCAATCAGTATGCCACTCAATCATTGCGGAGTGAATGTAGCGAAGTGTCAGCAGGAAGGTCCGCTCTAGTGAGGCCGCTCCAGATATTACTATGCTTGTGCAAAGCATGCATAGATATTACTATGCATGCTTTGCTTGGCTCGTAAGCAATAACTTTTTTCTTGCTTCAGATTCATAATAGCGTGTATTGCGCTTAGAGTTACCATCTTTTACCACTGGGAATAGCAATAGTTAACGGAAAGAGACGTGAATGAAAGGACGTTTCAGACTCATCAAAGCTCTTGAGATGTTATTACCAAATACAAATACAAATTACAATACAATTAGACGGATCGCTACTAGCTCTTATGGAAGCAAAATAGATTTTTTTTTTCAAGGATGCCGAGTTGTTGATATATGGCGACAGTAAAGCGTCAAGGAAAGTCGCGAATGGTTGGCAGAAACTTTGTCTAATAGAAGCAGGGTCGTAATATACACAATGGTAGACACCGGAAATAAAACTAGTCCGAACGATGTTTAATTGTCTTTAGGCATATAGCCAGGGCATTGATAGTTAAATAAGTCGAGGGACCTTAACAAAGAAAGCACGGCCTATCCACGAAATCAATGATGTTGAGTGGGTGAAGCAATGGGATTGTTCGGTGTTACCACATCACACGTGATTTTAGCCAATCAGGCATGTAAGTGAGTGCCAAGCGATGTACCGTTATATACAATGCATCTTTATAATCATAACTGCTGTTTTTGTCTTGTCTTTATTATTGCTGCTTTGTGGTATCGGAATTAGATTGAAGCCGGCAAAGACAAGGCCTGGGCACGTTCTTCTTGTGGAGCTTGGTTGTTTCCAGTCATGCGAAATGTATCCTAGAGCATATCGAGACGTCATCTACCGCACAAGGCAATCGTTGTCCGTGACCATAATAGTCAAAATCTTCATCGTCATGGCGTATAGTACGTGCCTTGGATGTGATATGCCAGAATGGCAGAAGGAGAATGTGTGGTCTGGAACGTGCTTGTTTTTCATCGTCATCAGCATCATCATCAGCGGCAGCCGCGGCACACGCCAACGCCGAAAACACACAATCTTCGACCTGAGGGAGTTTCGCCCCTAAAAAATCGTAGCTGTCCGAAATGAATTGTTACGTCGATCTTACAGGGCACCTAAACCACACAGAGTTCAAAGGCAAGAAAGTTGCATCTTTCTCGCTACCCTTCCTACAAGCGCTCCCACCTCCTGTTCACTTATTTCTTCGTAAAACACGTGGAATGTCTGCACTGAGCGCTGAGCCAATCAGAATTTCGCGCCTCTCGAATAGACGATGCCATCTCCACTTGCGCAGTCGTAAACGGAGAAAACGAAGTGAAATCAGTTTATAGCGCACGATGTCCTGCCTGGATAAGGCAGGACAGGGCGTGCTACTGCATAGAAAACATGGGAAAAAGGCAATTCCCAACATATATATGTTGCCTATTGACCAATCGAGAGGTTATTTCATCCTGACATCACGTGAACAAAGAGCTGGCGTCACGAATTGTGCTGCAAAGAGGGGAGATGGCAAGAGAAAATAACATGCTCGCTCTTTGTGTTTTCAGAGGTAGTTTAAGGACCCTATAAGGTGACATGACCTTTCACACGAACACTGGGGTAGCAGCATTCGCAGTAGAGACTGGTCTTGCTCATTCAGGCATGCTCTCATAGGGCCACCTCTGGAGAAAGTAATACCTTGACTGTGCAGCGCTGTACGTTCACGAGAATAGATTTCAGCGAAAGGTTCACCGAATGGAACTGAATATCCTGAATAGCGGAAGGGTTGAATATAGGCGTTTATCTGTTGCCCTGTCAACGCAGACGTGTTACTACAACAGTGCTGTTATGAAACTGTTCAGTGAACGAATATTGTTACGATGTCGATGAAAAGTTTACTTAGAGGACGGATTGAGATTTCACCATCTAGCTTTGACTTTATATATAGGAGTATCACTTAAGTGTTGCATACGCAAAGCTAAAAACATGTGATGTACTTGAAAAATCATTTGCGCTGTTTTTGGGATGCCATGTCCATAGAAGGACGAATGCTAACATAAAAACAACTGCTCATTTGTGTAGCAGCAGCAACGGGCGAGCATTTATACGCTGCGCTCATCTGAAGCGGCGTATCAATAAAGACGATCTTCCAAGCTTGGTAGCTTGGTCGATTGGTTTTGTAGCCACCGGCCGTAACGTAATACTCCAGTAAGGCTGAGGTGGCGGTGTCGATAAATAGAAGTCGTGGAGAATACACCATTCCCAAGCCGGCCTATATAGAAGATCATGACGCGGAGACTGTACCGATCTATACGCCGAGTGTGTCGCCGTGCATGAATTATTACAGCTAAAACCATTGTGCTGATTGAAACAGCGTGCTTTTTATTTCGAGAGCTGCTGTTTATATTTGTCAGGCCCATGAAAAATAATATTGGTAGAAAAATATATTTACCCGCGAGTAATATGGTACATACACTTTAAATTTCTAGTTCAACTGAGGGCATTATCGGACCATGTATATCTAATAAAGATTTACTTCGTAAGCTTTTATATATTTGACGTTGTATTTGACGCTAAGTGGTCGATGCTGAAGTAAACAATTTTCAGAAAAATGCGACAAACATTTTCATTTTCCACGTCCTTTACGCTGTGGCTCTAGGGATCAATGGCTCCGAAAAAACAAGTAAAACTTATGTGTCAAACTTAGTAAGGGGGAGGAGAAGGAGGAGGAGGAGGGGGAGGAAAACAGTAGCCAGGTCTCAGACACCTGATGACTACCGTGTGCTTGGCATGGATGTAATGGGAGTAAAACAAAAGACGAACTACTAAAGCCCCCAAGACAAACAAGCAGACGTATATCTCGTCCTAAACACACTGTGTCAAATTATGAAATAATCCATAAAACCTTTTTATAGAAGCTCCGAAATGCCTTTTGCTGGCTAAATTGCTTTTGACAAATTATATAAGACGCGCGAGTTCTTTTTAACCCTTGTAACTGTCGTGTGTTACCGTCTCTTGACGTCACGGCGCCACAAGGTCTTCAAGGCTCAGATACTGTTCTTAAACCTTGCCCTAGCCGACCTTTTGGTCACTGTGGTCACCATGAACTCGCAGCTGTTGTGGGAGATCATGGGAAGAGTCTGGATCGCCGGAGACGAGCTCTGCCGCGCATTCAAGGTGATGCAAACGTTCGCGCTGGTATCATCTACGTACATGCTCGTGGGCATCGCGGTGGACCGCCATTACGCCATCTGTAAGCCACTTGTGCTGGCTCCCAGACCTCGCTCAGTGGCTGCGGTCTGCTGGCTGCTCTCGCTGCTCCCTTCCCTTCCCAACCTATTCATGTTCCGGGTGGTAGTGGTGCGGGATAAGTGCTACTGTGCCTCAGTCTTCTACATCTATCGTGACACCACCACTGCCGTCCGACAGATTTACATGGCGTTCGTGTTCACACTTGTGTTTATCCTCCCACTCTGTGCGCTGGTGGCACTTTACAGTAGCATCCTATTTAGGATGCGGAAGATGGCCGCTTCCAATACTAGAACGGCAGGAGGCAATCGCATGGCACTTACTACGACTCCAGCGTCGAGGTCATCGCACGTAACGATGGCTTTCAGTGAGACATCAAACAGAAGCACGCTGCCTAGAGCGCGTCTGCGGACACTCAAGATGGCAGTGGTGATATTCGTGGCTTTCCTGGTGACTAACTTGCCGTACATGGTTCAAGAGGTGATACTGGCCTTCGCGCGAGACGTTTCGCTTGGACCCAACATGGTGGCCGTGTTCGGCGTCATCTCTGCCTCGAATAGTGCCGTCAACCCGTACGTGTACCTGGCATTCAATGGTGGAGCAGCGGGTACCAGTTGCGACGCTCGAGTGCGTGGCTTATGGCGTAGGCTGACGTGCTCTTCCGGTTCGAAACGCACTACCATTGCGTTCCGCACCTCTTGTTCGACGTTGCCTACACGTCGCCGTAAGCGACTGATAACAGCGCAAGGACATCTGTCTGAGCAAAAATGCAGAAGTAGCAGAGAGCTTGAAACACCAGAGGAAAAAATGTGAAAAGTGTAGGCTGGTCATAGGTGTTCATCTACTTCCAAACTGTTGAATGCCGAAAGCTCACAACAGAATATTTCAGAAAGAATTTGCCTACTCTCATTTTAACATAAGAAATGTGGCGGGACCATTCGGCCTGGTATTTGACAGCAACAGCTATTCCATAGTGTTCAATTTCAACGAACATGTTCGAAGTGTTAAATTACTGGCTAACATGTTTACTCACGTGTTTACAAAACCGATCTTACTCATATCTTTCCTGACTATACGGTTTAGCAATAATTATGGGCAGTGCGTCAATAAATCACCTTGATGGTGATTGCTGTAAGAAGTCGCTTGAAAAACACACCTTCAGTAAAAGCGGGTCGAAAGAAAAAACATACATGTAAGAACAAGTAGATAGTTAAGCTGCATATGCTCTCTAAGCAAGTCTAGGAATATGGGGAACGTTTGCAATGTGAAATATTTACGAGAATCAAGCGGGATGTTTGCTGCACATACTCAGTATCTTCGAGCCGGCGATACTTTTGGCATATTTTAGAAATTCTATTTTACCTGTTACACTTTGTCATTCTATTTTACCATCCATAGTTTCGTAAACTCACTTTCTGCATCTTTAGAAATGTACAGTTGCTGTGTGAAAATTATGACAGGACGACCAGTACCTTTGCGACACCAGGTGGCGTATACGCATATTTTAACAATAAAATAAACTACCAGCACTACAAAATCAAGAGATTTGTGTTGTCTTCAGGAAATTGGACTAAATGAAATAGTGCTAACACCTTAATTCCTATTTTTGATTCATTGGAAACGTGGTCATAATCATAAGAGTATGAAAGTTGTCTCAGAAATTCATTGTTAAGATGACGATAATTAAAGCGCGAAAAGAGAACGACGACAAAGAGACAAGAAGGAGAGTGCCCGTCTCCTTTCAGTCTTTCTGTCGTCGTTGTGTTCTCGCGCTATAACTATCGTCATGTCATACCAACTAGCCCAAACTGCCACACTTCATTGTTAAGGTCAGTGTGCTGTCTTTGCTTTCTTTATTGAATGATGTGGAATATACTTTAGAAAATGCAGTGCTGTTGATGGTGGGTACTTTTGAATTTTCGCGTCAATATTTCTTGAACCTTTGTCTTAGCATAACCAGTCAAACCTTACATAATTAATCACCTCTTAGCCCTTTTGAAGCGCCGTGTAGCGCAGGTAAGTTTAGACAGCGTGAAATTACCGGAAACCTAGGAACATCGCCCAACTGGCAACACATACTGAGTGACATCGGCTGTAAGTACTTTCCTGTTTTTCGAATATTAGTTATCAAGTATGATTAGATGGGTCCACCAGAATTTCTATATATGATAGTGAAAAAAAAAAGCTCTGAGGGTTTCTCGCGGAACAGCAATCATAACATGTGAGTGGGATGGTGAAAATGTATGCGCTGAGCACGCTGACGCTTGACAAGGCCCCTAAACTGTCTGTCCGCTGCCAATTTTTTACCTTTGAGATGCATAAAATTTTACGTACATCTATGAACCGAATTTAGAGCAAATGTGAACAGTGCGTGACATTAAAGTACACGTGCGATATACGTTTTACCAGGCTCAGCTGATGGGTCCGCCTGTGACCAAGTGAGAAAGTGACAATGATCTTCAGAATATTGCCCATTATTACGACCAGCGGCCAGAAACAAATTGTTAGTCAGTAGCGATCCACATTCTATTTGAACATTCTGCCTCACCCTGAGTACCCTCATGTTGTGTGGACAAAAACCTGAAGGCTAAAGAAAATGTTTAGCTTAAATGGACAATGGAGCAATAAGCCATGAAAAAATGATAAGTAATTTTAAGGGAGAGGAGAGCAAAGAGTGTCAGAGAAAAAACGGGTGTTAAAGAAACCTCAGTCGAAGTCATGAACAAATGGGCATAGGCAAGGCATGTAGAGCAAATGCAAGACAACCGCCGGTAATTAGGAGCAGCAGACTAGACTTCAAGGGAAGGCAATCGCGGGAGAGGGAGGCAGAAAGTTAGGAGTTAGGGGAATAACGGGACCGCAGCAACACAAGACCAAGTAATGGGGACTTGGAAAAAGGGTTTTGCGCACCAGTGGACGTAGTCAGTATGATGATGGTGATGATGTCTAGCTTGTAAAGTGTGCCCGTTTATTGGGCCATGATATCACACAGAAAAACACTACAGTTCTTCAATCGACGCAGCTACTCGGAATCAGTGACAGAAAAGCAGAACGCAAACGCCGGCAGTTCTGTTCTCAGTTTCTTTTGCACCCACGCCTAAGTTTTTAGACCTAATATCTTCGAAAACTTCTGAATCCTTACCAACTTCCTGAACTTTCGATCATTTTTATACTAAGCAAAAGCTATGCCATCTTGGTTCAACGGTCTGCCTATCTAAATTGACAGCAGCCCCGAACTCGAAAATGCACTCTGTGTTCGCATGCATTTCACTAAGCCTGCAGTAGAACGACCGCTCAATAAGCTGCAGATGTCTGATGAATTTTTATTCACGAAATCACGCAAAGATATCTTCAGCAAGCGCTTTTCCATATGTGTTTCTGGGCTTGCCAAAACACGGGCGTGGCATTTCGCCGATTCCTTAAACTCTTGAAAGTTGGAACTCCGCGGCTGAACAATTTATTATGCGGTACAGGTCAACGAACCCGCGAGTGGCGCAAAAGGCGCAAGGTTCGAGAAATTTTCGTTGCCTGTCATTGGGAATTTCAATATCTACGAGTCACTCCACTGAGAACGATTTCTCGCATATAGAGCTTTTTCCCATTCGAAATCTTGCTGACAAAATAACAGGAAGATTGATTTGTAGCTTTAGCTTCTTGTAAACCATTACTTTAAAGATCAATCAATAGAAAGATTTTCTACGCATTTACATAGCTTGCTTTCAGTTCAATATAGTGTATCTATTATGGTTGGAAAAGTTATACCAACCAAGGTAGCCACTAAGAGTGAATATTTATTTTATTAGAGAACACGAAAAACCAGATGAGACCCTCCTTCAGGGGTGACTGTGTTGCGTCAGAAAGCAGAGTCGGTATATAGTCTTTTTTCCTTTTGTTCAACCAGCGCGGTTGGGGATTTAAAGCTTCACCCGAGTGACATGCCACAGTCTATTGAAATAGTTGCTTGGCAGAGCACCTGCAGACCCCGTTACCAGGTGTCGCCTACATATGCCAGAATTTCACAAAAAGCCGATTATATAGTGAGATTGGGCTCCAAGTTAACGAAGCGGGAGTTCTAAAAATCAATGCCATGGTCGTTCACCTCTCTGTGCCCAGTTAAGGCACTCCTCCACTCGCATCATCTCGGGGTAGTCGACTCACTCAGACTCAGATAAAGCCTTGAGTAACAGTATGGGTGAGCCCGAGTGAGTAATATTTTTGTGAGTTTGAACTCGAGTGAAACGGGCTGAGGAATCCATTGATGAGTCTCAGTCTCAGGGAGCCCAAAGCGCGAGATATATTTCTTCAGTAAGTCTTAACGAGTTCCACTTATGTTTGCCCACCCATTGCCTTTTCGACTCATCTTCAGCATAACTATGAGCATTACCTGGATTCATGTTTGTACTCTCCTCTACGCACAGGGTTTCCAAAGCAGTATCGTTCAACACCATTTCATTATGTATTGATCAAAAGCCGTGAGGCAAGTTATTTTTTCACCCACTTATCTTTCTTCTTATTTTTACATTACATTGGTTCTAATATCTTCCCCTATACATTCTTTGGCATTATTATCTGTTAGATCTCATTGATATATATATATATATATATATATATATATATATATATATATATATATATTGTATTGAAAATCAATAATGGACGCTTTGCTGTTACTGAAGAAGAGGATGACGATCGGTGGCTGTAGTAGTAGCTCGCGCACGCCGCTCGCCGGTAGCGAGGCCTGCCTCATAAAGCACCTTTCGCCAAGCTGCGTCAGAACCTTTCTCGACGTACAACACCTCTATATTAAGTGGTGGAGGAGCCGGGGTTTCCATCAACTTGGAACTTCGTAATCGGACGCTACCCTCACCGTTCACCATGACTGCTCCTGGTCCTTCTCAAGCGGCCCCACCAATGACAGTCTTCTGTACTGGCGTGCCTAGGCAACGCGACCCACCTATTTTTCGTAGCGACGATGAACAAGACGTCGAGGACTGGCTCGTCGAGTACGAAATTGTAAGCGCTTCCAACAAATGGGACGCCTGCGACCAGCTCACGAATGTGCGTTTTTACCTCAATGATGTGGCCAGGCTTTGGTTCAAGAACCACGAAGGCGAAATCACCAACTGGTTCGCCTTCAAGACCACCATCGCCGCGGTCTTCGGTCGTCCCGCCGTGCACCGGCTTCACGCGGAACATCGTCTGCATAGTCGAGTCCAGCACAGGGACGGGATCTTTACAAGTTACATCGAAGATGTCTTGTCTCTTTGCAAGAGCGTCGATGAATCTCTAACCAAACACGACGAAATCAAGCACACCATTAAAGGTGTTGACGACGACACATTCCAGATGCTCATCGCTAGGAACCCACACTGTCACCACGTTGTCCAGCTGTGTCAGGAGTAAGACGAGTTGTGTAAGCAGCGTGTCTAGATGCGCAGGGCCGCTGAAGATACAGCTGAAGTTTGCGCCCTCGTGCACGACGTCTCTACTGATCACACGATGTTACTGCCCCAGATCAAACAATTCTTTCATGAAGAAGTTGCGTGTCAACTTTCTCTTGTGGCCGAAGCATCCGAGCTAGTGACCTTGTTAGACACACGTCTACGCCAGGTCATTGAGACACAGGTCACGCAGGCACTGCCTTCATCTCCATCTGTCCCTACGCCACTGACCTACGCTGCCGTCGTTGCTAGACCCCCAGCCCCACCTGTTTCTGGCGCATACCGGGGCACCGGGTCCTCCTACCTTACGACGCTGCCTACATACACGGCACCCCATCCTACTTCACCCCTGCACCTTCTGTCATTAACCCATGACGCACCTTGGATAACAGACCAATCTGTTTTGCATGCGGTTTTGTGGGACATATAGCACGCTACTGTCGCCATCGAAACTTCCAGCCTCCAGACCGCGAGAATTCTGCTAATTACCAGGCTGCCCAGAATCCCCAGCGACCACCTTTCCCTATCGCCGACTTGTTGTCCCCACGACGCCCTGTCCCACGATGCCCTGTCGACTCTCGTCGGTCATTACCACCCCGTCGCTGATCTGTATCCCCGATGCTTCGGCGCACGAGCCCCGCTCGAGAGAAAAACTGACAGCCACAGTTCCGGAGGCAAGAACTCGTCGTCGTCGAACTCTCCGAGACCCCCTCTTTGTCCGCCCAACGAAATTAATGTGCTAGTAGAAGGAGTTGCTGTAGGTGCACTTGTCGACACAGGCGCCGTCGTTTCTGTAGTTAATGAAAAACTGTGTCGCCCTTTGAGAAATGTTACAACGCCGCTTACAAATCTTGCTCTGCGTACAGCCACCTCCTATTTCATCGCGCCGACAGCTCAGTGCACAGCCCGTGTTCTTATTCAATATGTTTGGTACGCCGTAAACTTTGTTGTTCTTCCACGTTTATCTTACGACGTCATACTAGGATGGGATTTCCTTTCTACCCATCAGGCCCTCGTCGACTGCGCTCATGCTGAAATCACGTTGACGAATCCGTGCCTTGATATCGACCACCACAGTCCCCCGAAAATGTTTGCCGAAGCTGATGTCTGCACCGCGCCTTTGTCCGCCGTCCTAGTGCCTGTGTTTTCCCCTGATGCCACTAACTCGACGCTCCTGTCCCAACCAACTATAGCTAGTGCGCACCACCGAACCATCGTCATCCTGTTTGCCATCATCAACTCTTCGAATGGTTCGGCGGTACTTTATGCGTGCAACGTCTCTGCTGGTCCATACATCCTGCTACGCGGCGAGTGTCTGAGGAGCCTCGAGACCTTAAATTGTATTTGCGAAGACCCGATGTATCCAGGCAAGCCATTTCTACCGACTTGTGCCATTACACCCGCAACTGACGCCAAAGACCCTATGAATGTATTTCGCAAGTCTATTGATTGCGACATCACGCCTCAGCAGCAGGAACAGATGATCAAGCTCCTCCAGCGTTTTCAGAGCCTCGTTTGACCATAATCAGCCTTCTTTAGGTCGAGCGTCATTTGTTGTCACCATATAGATACCGGGTCAAGAGACATTATTATGACAGCGTTCATATCGGGTGTCAACTGCCGAACGCCGATGTCATCAACGAACAGGTCGACGATATGCTGAAACGTGGCATAATTGATCGTCAAGCAGTCCCTGGGCCTCTCCGTTGTGCTAGTGAAGAAGAAGGATGGATCCATCAGGTTCTGCGCGGACTACCGACGTCTCAATCGAATCACGTGCAAGGATCTATCCGCTGCCACGCATTGACGATGCCTTAGACTGCCTACAGGGAGCCGAATTTTTTTCATCTTTAGATCTGCGCTCTGGATATTGGCAGGTACTCATGGCAGAGGCCGATCGCGGAAAAACAGCTTTGATCACGCCCGACGGGCTTTATGAATTCACAGTCATGCCCTTCGGCCTCTGCAACGTGCCAGCTACTTTCGAGCGTATAATGGCCTCTGTCCTTCGAGGCCTCAAATGGAACGTTTCCCTTCGTTGTTTAGATGACGTTGTCGTCTTTTCAACTGATTTCGCAACCCATTTAACTCGCCTCGAGAAAGTCCTTATCTGTATCTCCGCCGTGGGTCTGCAACTGAATCTGAATAAGTGCTGTTTCGCTGCTCGAAAGCTTACGATCCTTGGTCACGTGGTTTCGAAGGACGGCATTCTTCCTGACCCTGCCAAACGTACAGCCGTTTCAGTGTTTCCCAAACCGACCACCATGAAACAGCTCTGAAGTTTCATAGGCTCCTACATGCGGCGCTTCGTCCGCGATGATCTTCGCTCCTTTCACCAAGCTCCTCGCCGGCTCTAGGGACCTTTTGGCCTGGTCTGCCACCTGTGATGATTCTTTCAATGAACTGCGCTGCCTCCTCACGTCGCCGCCTATTCTGCGACACTACGACTCATCGGCACCCACAGATATCCCCACTGACGAGTGGTGTCGAGTTAGGCGCTATTCTTGCGCAGCAGAAAGACAGCTTCCAAGAGTACGTGGTTGCCTACGCAAGCCGAACTTTTACTAAAGCCGAAATCAACTATTCCGTCACTGAAAAGGAATGCCTTGTCATTATTTGGGCGATAGACAAATTTCGACCTTACGTGTACGGGTGCCCTTTTGACGTAGTGACCAACCACCACGCCCTTTGCTGGTTGTCGTCACTGAAGGATCCAAGTGGTCGCCTCACCCGATGGGCGTTACGCCTTCAAGAGTATGACATTCGCGTGGTCTATCGCTCCGGCCAAAAACATTCGGACGTAGACACCCTCTCCCGTTCGCCCCTACCCCTTGACGCGGCCTGCTGCGAAAGCCTCATCTGTGATGCTACTGCCGTCACTATCACCGACATGCCATCCGAGCTACGCAAGGGCTCTTGGGTTTCTTCGATTCTAGACATCCTGGCTGGGCAGACGCCTTCTTCCCCTACTCGCACGCTGCGTCGGCAAGCCGACCACTTCACCACTCGCGACAACGTGCTGTACCGACGGAACTACGCACCCAGTGTACGTCAGGGGCTATTCATGATTTCACATAATCTGCGATCCGAAATTTGTTTCACGTTTCATGAAGACCCCAATGTGGCCACGTAGGTTTCCTGAAGATTTATTCTCGCATACGGCTCCGATATAACTGGCGGGGCATGTACCACCTTATAGGACAGTACGTTCGGGCTTGACGTGCTAGAGACAAAAGACTCCCTCTCATCACGCCGGCGTTATCTTATTACTCTTACCATGCCTATCCTGACCATTCGACCATGTCGGCATTGATATCTATGGTCCCGTTCCGAACACTGCAGAAGGTAACCATTAGATCATAGTTGCCGTCGACCACCTCACGTGGTATGCCGAACCTTCATCCCTTCTCTCGTCTACAGCAAAAGACGTTGTGACTTTCGTTCTTCACAACATCGTATTACGTCATGGAGTACCTCGAGAGTTACTAAGTGATCGTGGTCGCGTATTCTTGTCAGACGTCATCACAGCATTGCTTCGTGAGTGCCACGTCGTTCACCGCACTACAAGCGCCTATAATTTCCAGACCAATTCAATGACAGAGCGCTTCAACCACACCTTAGGTGACATGCTGTCTATGTACATCTCATAAGACCACTCCGATTGGGACCGAGTGCTCCCGTATATCACGTTCGCCTGTAATACCGCCATTCAAAGCACTACTGGGTTCTCTCCTTTTTTCCTCCTTTACGGACGCGAACCTTCTTGCACTATGGACACCATTCTTTCGTACAGACATGACACCACAGAGTCCACAACTCTGTCTCAAGTCGCTACATACGCTGAAGAATGCCGCCAACATACAAGATCATTCATAACCCAAGACCAAGGACACCAAAAGCACCACCATGGCGCATCAATTAACACTACTTCCTACGATCCAGGTTCCCTCGTCTGGCTGTATATACCTTCTGCTACACCTGGCCTTTCTACCAAGTTGGTCCCCAAGTATCACGGCCCATATCGTATACTACAAAAAACGTCACCGGTGAATTTCCTGATCGAGCCACTGGAACCATCTTTGACCAACGTCGTCGTGGCCAGGAAATCGTCCACGTGTCGAGACTTAAGCCCTGCTATGACCCTCCCGTGTTTACTTGTCCATAGGTCGCCAGGATGGCTCCTTATTTCGCGTGGAGTAATTGTAATGAATCTGAATAATGGACGCTCTGTTGTTACTGAAGAAGACGATGACGATCGGTGGCAATAGTAGTAGCCGGTAACCAGGCCTGCCTCATAAAGCACCTTTCGCCAAGCTGCGTCAGAACCTTTCTCGACGTACAACACCTCTTTTTAATATATATATATATATATATATATATATATATATATATATATATATATATATATTGTACAGAAGCCGCCGAACACTGAAGTGGGTCGAACTCTTATGTGCTTTCTAGTGGGTCTGCCCAAAGAGAACGCCGCTCGCGCGGAGACCCCGTGTTTTGGCCGTTACTGTCGCCATTGTGTAGACTCGCTGTGTGCCGGCTAATAAACGCCATAACAAATTGGTGGAGAGTGCTACGATCCCCTTCGATGCCCTTGGAACTACGCTCACGTACGCTGCAATCTACCATGTCCCACGACGCCTCTCAGCAAACGCCTCCTCCCATGCCACCCCCATGTCCCGGTGTCCCCAGGATCCGCAATCCACCCATCTTCACGGGCGCCGATGGCACTGACGTGGAGGACTGGCTCGCCATTTATGAGCGCGTGAGCGTCCCCAACAAATGGGACGAGGACGGCAAGTTGACAAACTTGGTGTTCTACCTTGCGGGCGTTGCAAGTTTGTGGTACACCAACCACGCGTCCGAGTTTGCAACCTGGTCCGGTTTCAAGACTGCTATCACCAACGTTTTTGGCCGCCCTGCCGTTCGCAAGCTGCAAGCCGAGCAGCGCTT